AATGAGCTCGATGCAGGCTGCTAGATCCATACCGAAGTCAATGAACTCCCACGCAATCCCCTCTTTCTTGTACTCCTCCTGTTCCAACACGAACATGTGGTGGTTGAAAAACTGTTGCAGCTTCTCGTTGGTGAAGTTGATGCAGATTTGCTCCATGCTGTTGTACTGAAGACAAGAATCAACTCATGACACATCAACATAACACTGAGAATTCATCAACATCGACCGACCAAAATGAACATAAATGAGACCAAACATCACACATCAAATATTTCAAATCCAGCGATGTCCAACACCCCGATGAAGAACTGCCTGGACTGCTTGGTGTCCAGCATCTCATTGATCCTTGATACCATCCATGAGAACATCTTCTCATAGACAGACTTGGCCAGAGCACCAACTGCATTGGTGACCTGATCAGGAGATTTTGAGGAAGCATGAATCAGGAAGACAAAACGTAGATTTAAAAAACAATGAAAATAGAGTTATTAAATTTGTCCAAACAGGGCATGATTTGAGGTGTTTAGGTGGTTTGTTAGGTTTTGCCCTAACCGATCAGTATCAAGTGACATATCTTAAGAGTTTAAGCCTAAAGTCTAAAAGTATTTTATTCTTAGGAAGTATTCAGTGGCAGCCATGATACGAGCAGGTTGAATTCTCTGAATGCTAAGGAAAGGTGCTGCAATGCTTCCTTTCTTATATCCTTCATTATAAGATACACTGGACCATCCTCTACCAAAGGAAAGGAAATAATGTCCAACATTCGCCCTATAACTGAACTGTGCATCATCGAGTTTTTCACTGTATCCAACTGATTTTATATGTTATAAAGTCGCTTGAAATGAATCAGCATCATCAATCTTAAACCAGCTTGTTGATATTTGGTTACCTGATAAAAACACCTTGGATAATTTGGCGCACTGGTTTAGCTAGCAACTGATGAAATGTTTCCAACGAACGTGAGAATATCCTTAAATTGTTACTTTTGATAACCCAACCTGACACAAACATCAGGGATATATTTGCATGACTTTTGTAAGCAGTCATGACAAGGTGTCCCGATATTAAAAGTATCTCAGGTGCATTATCTTCTTATATTAATACACCCCATCATGCATCATCACTGGTTAAATCTTGGAGCAGTCACGGTACCTGGGGGACAGTCTGGCCCTTGGTGACATATTCATTCCCCACTTTCACTCGGGGGTAGCAGAGGGCTTTCAACAAGTCAGCAGAGTTCAGAGCCATGAGGAAAGCCACTTTGTCTGCCACTGAGAGACACACACAACATTTCCGTTAACACCGTCTGCACGTTTTCTTTTCTCAGATAACAGCAAGACATGAAGTGAGAAGCATCACCCTCGGTGCCATCGGGCTCCGCCTGCTCCTCCCTCTGCTTCTGCTTGAACTTCATGTTCCCATAATGCAACACGGCGCCAGTCAGCTTGTAGATGCCCATTTTCTCTTCGCTGGTGAAGCCCAAGACATCAGTGGCCATCTGCTAACGTAAAATTCAGAGTCAGCTAAAGCCAATGAAAGTGTGTACGTCACTTAAAGCGATGGACAGGAGGGAGCTCACATCTGTGGCCATCAGCTCTTCTTTGTCGTCAATGCTGGCCACGGTGATCTGCCCCTGACTGACCATGGGGAAGTCATATGGGTTTGTTGATATGAGGAGCATTTCTGAGGAGAGTCACAAAATTAATTTAATTATCCCTCAAAAACATCTGCTATAGACGTGACGTCCTCAACGTACCTATGAGCTCTGATTTGTGTCCGGTCATTATCTGATAGAAGATGTGGTAGCTCCTCTCTTCAGTCAACTGGAACGTCACTCTCGACTTCTCCAGCAAATCTGCATTGAATTACGGTTGTCAAGTATGCAGATAAGGAGCTTTATTAATGTGGAAAAACAAACCTACAGGTTTCGATATCAGCAGAAGCCAGTTTTCCTGAGGATCCAAAATGAATCCTGATGAATTTACCCTGTGAAATACATAAAATCATCTGTGAATGTGCACAAGGAAACATTATAAAGATTTGGGGAATTAGAGACCGTAGCAGTTTGACTGATCCCATTTTTCAATCTCACGCTCACAAATCGAGAGGAGTTGTCGTTCCTCACAGTCTTGGCGTTCCCAAAAGCCTCCAGCAGAGGGTTGGCTGAAATGATTTGATCTTCCAGCGTTCCCTGCAGAACACAGCCAGCTTCCTCACAATCTCATTGTAGTTTTGTGTTATTTTAATCAAGCGTATATCTCGTTGAGGGATTACCTGTATTTTACAAGACGAGTTCTCTTTCTTGTCACCACCAGCCACTGCGATTGTCGCAAAGTACTGGATGACACGCTTGGTGTTGACAGTCTTCCCCGCACCAGATTCTCCACTGAGACCACAGAAGAAAAAAACCTGAACACCTATACGTGTTCGTCTGCTATTGACTGAATTATACGACACGTTTAAAAAAATAATAATATGCAACACGACTTACGTGATCAGGACAGACTGGTTCTCACGATCTGTTGGTAATAAAAGATGAGCTTCAGTGAAGTTTTGTCTCAGTTTAAAGTTACAAGAGTGATTTAAAAGACTAAAATGTGCAAAAGACTAATGGATACTTTGATGCCAAAATATTTGCATTTACTATTTGCCCCAGAATTTTGATTAAAACACAATTAAAATGTATGCTTTTCAAATCCAACACATAGTAAGACTGCAGCACAGTTAAATAAATGTAGAAATGCCGGTTCAACAGATTGTTTGAACACAGTTGTGAGAGACTTGCATCGTATCTTTAATACTGATATATGTCTGTATGTTTGTTTAAACCAGGGAAGTTTTGAGTTTTAAGGCTCTGTAATTTGAAAGAGGCTCAAAAACACCTCGCTCTTCCTCACCTGTAAGCATATTTTGATATGCATTATCAGAGACGGAGAAAATATGTGGAGGGGCCTCCATCCTCTTCTTCCCCCTGTAGGCCAACACCACCTTTTGGTCGTAGACCGGCAGCCACTTGTAGGGGTTTACAGTGACACAGAAGAGCCCAGAGTACGTCTGCAGATGAGAAGATACAGTGTGTGAGGTAAGAGAGTGAGAATCAGGGATAAGAGTGAGGGTAATATCCCTCTTAATTACATACGTAAATCATCCACGCTGCATAACGATCTTTGAGGTTAAACAGCACAGAGGGCTCGTTGAGGTGCGTCATCATGGCCATGTCCTCGATCTTGTCGTACTTTGGGGGATTCATAGGATGGCAATCTTCCTCCTTGACTGTTACAATCTGGGGGGAAAAAAGTGAGAAGAGAAGATGAAATGGTATCGAGTGGAGAAAATAGGATGTTCAGGATCAATCGGCGAGGAAAGAAAAAGTAGCACATGAAAACAAACGAGAATATAAAATGTAACATTGAAAATGAATAAAAAGTGGATTTCTTTAAACAAGAAAAGCAACAAACCAGCTGAGGCGATATAGTGTTTTTTCCATACCTTCCCAGCAGCAACTGGTTCTAGTTTATTTCTGTAACATATGATTTTTATTGTTTTCATTATTATTTTTGCGTAGTAATTTAGTTGTATACAGACATATTTACCTCCTCAGCTTCAGTCTTTACAGTGACTTGGTCCCTATCTTTGTTCTGGATGACAGCTTTGATGTACAGCTCCTTGGCATCGGGCACAAAGCAGGCCGTTCTGCCATCAAACGGCCGGTTCTGAGCCTCGACTCTCTCCTTCTCAGGTTTGCGGAGAAAGATGGACGCCGGCCCAAACTGGGCCATCTCGGCGTCAGAGCTCATGTTGAAATCTGAAAGTAAAAGAAAGCAAGAAAGTGAGTAATTGCAATTAATCAAACAATTAAAAAGGATTTTTAATGTAATTTGAATCGTACTTACCGGGTTTACACACCCCAGTAGAATTGAATCAAAGCCACCAATGTTACAGAGGCCAGAGGGAAACGTGATCTCACCAACGGCCGGACTCTAAGTGAACACCAGCAGGAGGCTGAGGCTCCATTTATCAAGACGAATGTCCTGCTGAAGCAAACCGGACACTCCAAACTTGGCAATGTCACTCCATTCAAATGTCAATCAAGTCGCATTAGCGGTCTATGCTCTGCACTTAAATATGGCACAGGATCTTTTAGTGTTAATAGGAACATGTCTGCAGCGACAGGCGATGATCCTCGAGCACTATTTTTACATGCCTTCCATACTATCATTAGCTACTTAACGTTTGTTTAGCTGCTCAGTGGGACTACAGCTCAAGTTGAATGTATATTGAGCTGCTGTGTTTAGTGTGGTACTGTTGATTTAGAGATAGAAATGTGTCATTGTGTGTATTTATGAGTATAAACCATCTGTAACTCAGTGTCTCCATGATGCTTCATGACCTTCATGTTCATCCTGGACTCCAGGACCACCTGCTCGTTCGCCTCCAAGGCACCTTGCTTGGATTAAGTGGATTAAACTCCAGACAGATGTCGCTACAATGTCGACATTAGTTTTTTGGGAATACATCAAGAGAAAATGAACATTGTGTGTAGTACACATATCAGATTATTTCTTATTGGGGAATAGTTTTAAATTGTTGCATTTATTTCATTCTTGAAAAATCGTCTCAATTGGATACCAAAAGCTGCCAGTTTCATTCAAAAAAATCTCCCAGATGTTAATTTAATTCAATTAGTATCAAATAATTCAAAAGAATTAAAAATTCTAAAAAGTCTCAAACTTAAAGAGATATAGTGGCACATCATTAACATAAAGATTAGATAACATCAAAAAGATGAATAAAACGGCTTCGTTGTAACTTGAATACAGGGAACAGAAATGGGCCAAGAATCGAACCCTGTGGCACACCACCACTTAAAGTAATGTGTAGAGACACTGCCCTTGGTATTAGAGAAATAGTTTTAATAGTTTTGGACAAGGACTAAAACCTCATGGCATATACATTTATTTACTACATATATTACTTTTCTGATACTTTTTTAAATAAAATGGCATTGTTGTTATTCAAACCATAACTCATTAGTCTGCAATTAATCTCATGATATATATTCCATGCCAAGGTTAGTGATAGCTAAGCCACCTTGAGGGACGTTGTCTGTTTTGTTTACAAGTTAACACATGATGGCGTTCAGCTTGTGCATGTGTAGAAACACATGACGACAGCTTTGTTGCCCCATTTAGAATAAGCAGTCTGTAACTCGAGCTCTCCTCATATTAGGGGGAGCAAGTGTGAACAGCAGGTTGTTATCTTTAAAATGCATCAAATCATCTCTTAATATCCAGAAATAAGTACGAGTGTGTAGGCTCTGTAACAAGAAGAAATATAGCATCAAATCAAAGCTCAAAATCCAATGTCATTTTTAAAAGGTTTATCTAAAATAAATGTAATCCTTTATTTGAAAAATTCAAAATGATCACATTTGGAGATACATGATTGGAAATGGACAGTGACACTTTAACAATGTGGAATAGACCATGAATACTATAAATGGTGGCATGAATATACTTAAAATATACTAGCCTAAATTATTATTATTACTATTTATCTGCTGGTACTTCTTTAGATTTATTAGATCAGCAGATTTAGTTACTTCTTTATTTAATTGCATATAGAAGTAAACTTAATTACTAAGTTGTTGAATATAAAAAATATTATTTCAATTACGAGAAGCAAGACAAAGTGTGTGCATTAGCTTTGGCTAACTCTTTCTCATAGTTACTGCAGTTTGGTTTGTCTCTGATATCTAGTTCTAGGTAATTTTGACTGTCTTTTTTTAAATTGCACAATTCTGTGGCAAATACATTTTTCGGTGTCAAACAGTTACATTTTGGTCCAACTCCATTTTGACAAAATATGTAAACTACTGTGTTTTGTCTTTGTAGAGCCAAAACAAATGAGCTATAGCTTAATAAATTAATCTTTGATTATAAAATATGTGATTTAAATGTAGTTTAACCTCATGAAATCATGTGAATTCCACTTCAGTCAGAGGCTGCAGAGACGGCAGTTACTGTTCTGCTAGCTAAGCTAGCTAGGCTAGTTAGCTTTTAGCGACTATTTTCCTGGTTCTTTTTCTTAATTATGATTAGATTTAGCTCCCGCCTTATTTATGTTGCATACAAACATCTCAATTACTAAGATGTTGGTGCATTCAAATTGTTATTTCAGTTCCAGGAAACAGGAAAAAAAAGTGTTTGGGAATTAGCTTTAGCTTACATTAGCTCACCTGCTAGCTTTTACTAGCAGGTGTGCAGTTTGATTTTACTTGTTTTCCAGTTCAAGCTAATTTGGAATGTTTTCTAATATTTCTATGGCAAATTAACTTGTATATAGATGCCGTTTTGTTATTTTTCCCCAATGTTTCTGAATTATTTCCTTTTAGTGTCCTGTTTGTGTTTCACTGTGTTTGTCCCCTTCATGTCCACTTAGTGTCCTGTTAGTGGACTGTTCTGACTGTGTGTTTGTCCCCTTCATGTCCACTTAGTGTCCTGTTAGTGCAAAGAACAACCTGTCAGCTCCTCATGCACCGGCCGCTCCTCCTCTTTGTACATTCTCTTCTCTTGGAGGTTACCTTCAGCTTCTCCTATCTAAGCCTCCTCAGCTGAGAGTCACACATGCACCGCCGTAACTCTAACCGTGCAAATGTCATGAACATACCAGCTGCTGCTGATTACCACACCGATGACAGTAGCGGGGAAAATGCGGATTTTGATGTGGCAAGCTGGTTTAATGCTTTCCCTTTTCTCCATCTAAGTAACTGTGACTCTGTTGCATATGTTGTAATTGTAAACTTCAAAGCAGCAGACGACATGTGCAGAGTGTTAGTTCAACATTAAAAAACGCTGAATCCTACATTTCCCATAATGGGTGACCAGATCCCATCAAAAAACTAATGTGGGACAAAGAGATACGTTTGTGTGGTATAACGTCTTGTTATCAATGCTGACAGGTCGTCTAAATTATTTATACTATATATATATAACTTAAAAAATAAACATTTCTATTATGTGCTGCTTAAAAAACTCTCTGAGATTCTCCTTCAACTGGCTTCACAGCAGTTAGAAGAAGTTTCCTTTTTATTCTTTGTAGTAGTTTCCATCATATTCATGCATAAATCTGCATAGTTTGGGACTTTTTTCCGTGTAATATTCACGTTCTGTGATAAAGTATTCATGACAAAACCAACAATTCAAAAGAATTGACTGAGGTGAGAATGAATCATATAAAGAAACGCCCCAGTGTGTGAAGGCCTTTAGACTAAATAAACCATTAAAGCTGCAGCATGCTGGGTCACAAAGCTTTTCTAACTTCCTTAGATCATGAAAAAGTTACATTTTGAAGTCACATAGTTTTCACATATTTCTACTCCCCTTTACCGACAACGTCGCGGCTCTTTGCTCGTAACTTATTCAACTGGGATTCCGCGGCGTCGGCTCGCTCCTCGGCCTCATTTAGTTCGTGCTGCACCTTCCGAGCTTTAGCCGAATGGATGCTGGTTTGTTCCTCCTGAAGCGTCACAGAAAAACAATATAAGAAAAGATACACATTCATATTTCCCACTGTATTGATGTATTTCTTTTTTTACTCACCGCCTCCTCACACTGCTGCTTACACGCTTTCACTTTCAGTTGCAGTTTGTTCACCAGATCCTGAAGCCTCGCCACGCTCTTCTTTTCCTCCTCTGCCTGAAACATTCAAGGCGTCACATTTTGCATATTCATCTAGTGAAGCTCTCGGTTATATAACAGGACACTAACTTTTACCTGATAAGTGAGCTCTTTGATTTTCCTCTCATATTTGCGTACGCCCTTCATGGCCTCGCTGCTGCGTTTCTGCTCCGAATCCAGTTCATTTTCCAGCTCACGCACCTTAAAAATACAAAGTTGAAATCACTTTTCATTCTGTTTTCTTCTCCACAGATTAACGGCTGGATTCATACCTTGTTTTCAAGTTTCTGGAGCTCCTTCTTCCCCCCCTTCAGAGCCAGCTGCTCGGCCTCGTCTAGTCGCTGCTGCAGGTCCTTCACCGTCACCTCCAGGTTCTTCTTCATCCTCTCCAGGTGAGCGCTGGTGTCCTGCTCCTTCTTCAGCTCCTCGGCCATCATGGCGGCCTGTGTGCAAGCGTCAGCTCACTGTGAGATTTAATCTGCAGGACCTCGTTTAGTCGACGCTCTGCAGTGAATTGGATGAAAGTGTATGTGGGGGGGGCAGACTTACATCCATGATGGCTTTTTTGGCCTTCTCATCGGCGTTCCTCGCCTCCTGGACCGAGTCCTCCATCTCTGACTGCAGCTGAGCTAAATCTGACTCCATCTTCTTTTTCGTGTTCAGGAGGCTGGAGTTCTGCTCATTAGAGAACATTTAGATTCATTAAAAGTGTGAGTGGTTATACGGTCCATTTAGTTCAACTCTCTGGTGAGATTGTTTAAACTCAAGAATGTTTGCTTTCTTACTGAGATACATAAAGAAACATTTGAATAAACTTTAAGTAGTATCTCAGATATTATCAGGTTTTTAGATTATTTTTTAGTTTGTACATCTCATATCTCATTCCTGTTTCATAAACCTCACCTCACCCCACCTCTCCTCTCCTCTCCTCTCCTCTCCTCTCCTCTCCTCTCCTCCTCACCTGAGAGAGCAGCAGCTGAATCCTCTCGCTGACGTCGATCAGCTCCTGCTCGGCCAGCTTGCGACTCCTCTCCGACTGCTCCAGCGCCGCCCCGATCTCCTCGTTCTCAGCCGTCATCAGGTTGTTGCGTCGCTCCGCGATCGCCAGCTGTTCCTTGAAGTCTTCCAGACTGTGGAGCGCCTCGTCCAGATGGACCTGGGCTTCCTGGGACAAAACATATATATATATATATATACACAGTATATATCGGGCTGACGTTTCCATGTGAACATTTTCTATGAGCGGTTTCGTTAACAAACCTTCAACTGAGCCTGCAGGTTCCGCAGCTGCTTGGTGGACTCGGCCGCCTGGCGGTTGGCGTGACCCAGCTGGATCTCCATCTCGTTCAGGTCCCCCTCCATCTTCTTCTTCGTCCGGACGGCGTCGTTTCTGCCGCGCGTCTCGGCGTCCAGCGTGCTCTGCAGCGTGTCCACGGTCCTCTGGTGGTTCCTCTTGAGCTGGTCGATTTCCTCGTCTTTCTCCGACACCTTTCTGTTGACCTCGGACGTGATCTGATTCAGCTCCAGCTGAAGGTGCAGGATTCTGGCCTCCTCGTGCTCCAGGGACGACTACAGAGAGAAAACCAACACTTGATTATGGTCATTTTTATTTTAAAAACCATTGTTTAACGGTATATTACGACAAAAACACAAACCTCTACTTCCTCCAGAGCTGCCTGGGTTTCTCTCTTCTCCTGCTCCGCTTGCTTCGCAGCTTTCTCCAGCTCGTGGAGAGTTTTAGCAGATTGCCCAACTTGCTCTGTGATTTCTGTAACCTCCTCTGGAAATGTAAAGAAAAAAACATGATCTTTGTGGGTTCAAACCAATCAGCAGCAAATGGACGATGTGTTTGCAGCTCACGCTGAAGGTTTTTATTCTCTCTCTTCATGGTCTCCAGATGATCCAGAGCCTCCCCGTAGGAGTTTTTCAGCTTGAAGAGTTCCGTGCTGAGCGCTCGAGACTCTCTCTGGGAAACTTCCAGATCTGATTGACTCTCCTCGTGTTTCTGTTTCCATTCAGCCAGAACCTAACAGAGGAGGACAGCAGCATGTGTAGCCAACAAGGCTGCAAATGTTTCTGAAGAGGATTAATAAAGAAAAGAAAACATACCTTATCAAAGTTCCTCTGTCTCTTGTCCAAGGAGGCGTTGGCTGCGTTGGACCTTTCCACCTCGACCATGAGATCCTCCACCTCCGCCTGCAGCCTCTGCTTAGTTCTCTCCAGAGACGCACATTTGACGTTCGCTGCCTCTTTCATTTCCTCAGAGTCCTGCAGCCGCTGGGCCAGCCTCTTCCTGTGAACCGAACATAAACCGTGCTCAAGAGGAAGGAAACACAATCATAGACAAAGACAAAAACGCGCTGCACAGTTCTTACTTCGCCTCCTCGAGCTCTTCGGTGCGTTGGATGGCGTCCGTCTCGTATTTGGTCCTCCACTGAGCCACCTCGCTGTTGGCTTTGGACAAACAGCGGTGCAGCTCAGCTTTGGCCTCCTGCTCCTCCTCGTACTGCTCCCTCAGCAGCTCGCAGTCGTGACGAGACGACTGCAAACCGTGAGCCAGGCCGCATCTTGCCTGGAGAAGTGAGAACATACACAACATCTGTTTACTGCCTGAATGAAAGCTGCTGTAGCTGCATGTAAGGATGTAGATAAAAGGTTCCTGTTTGGTTTGTAAGCATGAGAGCACGCTAGTGACGCAACACAGAATCCACCGGTTTCATGCTGTTCCCTTGTTTTTAGTACGTGCTGATAAAAGCAAAGAAGAAGACTGCAGGCACAGTTAACAGAGATGCAATCAGGATTATTCATTGATTTTAGGGACAACACATTTAGATTGTACTCTGATTGTTGTGCTACATTCCTGCTAAATCAAAATAAGACTGGTCCGTATCCACAGAGCCTCCTGGAAGCTTCTCCTCTTGACTGCAGCCATTTGGGAAAGTGTTTCAAGTGTTGCCTCTGCAGGGTGAGCGTGCAGCGTGCATGACAGCCAAAACATCTGGATCGCCCCCTGCTGGCTGGCTGTTAGTTTAGGAAGCGCTTGATTTGCATTTCAAACTGTGAATATCGCACTCAATCATGTTCATTTAATTGTGGGAAGCCAAAATCGTGATCCCATTATCATTCAAACTGTGCAGCCCTAGTTTGCAGATTAATTTTCTGTCAATCTAATACTCGACGTTTCCTTTGACATGGTTTCTAGCTGCTCTTCTCTGCTAAGTTCCTCAGTGAGGGTGTAAATCATAACGGACTGAACATCAGACATAATTGTTTCCTTCAGACCTTCATTTCTTCGTCCAGAAGTCTCTTCAACTCTTCGATTTGTTGACTCCCCACAGTTTTGACTCTGCTCAGCTGGGACAGAGTGATCTCCTTCTCCTCCAGCAGACGTGTGAGCTCAGCTGTTCACAAGGAAGATGAGATTTTGTTTTGGATTATTTATTAATTAGTCTTACTTTGTATAATTTCTTGGGTCGTATATGTGTTCATGTACTTGTACTTGTGTGCACTTGTTTTGTTCTCACTTTTCTACACAATAAAAACAAATAATAAAAATGGCACAAACTAACTCATGTTTCCATCTTAAATCGCTCTTTTTAAACATGTTCACATTGATAAACGTACCGTTTCCTGTTTGTTGACGGGCACTGAGTGTCGTGTAATCACTGAGGGACCTCTGGGCTTCATCGGCTTTGGTTTTATATTCATTCATTTGGTCTTCAAGGCTCTTGCACAGTTTCTCCAGGTTAGCCTGAAACATTGAGCATCAGACTCAAGGATTCAAGGATCATTTATTGTCATGATGCAACATAGGGATGCACAACGGCATTCAGTTGCAACACAAAAAACACATGACAAACAAAACAAAACAGTAGTACATTCCTGTAGTGCATTTTTATAATTGGCATCATAAGGAATGTAAACAAACAGTTCTCTGGGCAGATGATATGGCCGACATCTTCACATTAAAAATTCAAAATAAGAAAAAACAAACATTGCCCATTACCTTTGACTGTGTTTGAGCACCAAGCATCATTAATATAAACACAGTCTCCTACCTTGCTCTTCAGGACACTCTCCGTGTTGCTCACCACGTCGTCAACCTCCATCCTCAGCTCGCTCTTCTCCTTCTCCAGCTTCTGCTTGACCCTCTGGAGGTTGTCTATCTGGTCTCCGAGCTCGGCGACGCCGTCGGCCTGCTTCTTGCGTAGAGCTGCGGCGACGGACTCGTGCTGCAGCGTGGACTCCTCCAGGTCTCGACGCAGCCGCTGAAAGTCGGCGCTGCGCTTCTTGTTCATCTCGGCCTGAGCGGCGGTGGCTCCTCCGGCCTCCTCCAGCCGCTCGCTGATCTCGTCCAGCTCCCTGGAGAGGTCGCACCGCTGCTTCTCCACTTTGGCTCGAGCCGAGCGCTCGGCCTCGATCTCCTCCTCCAGCTCCTCAGCGCGAGCCTATACGGGGGAGATCGTAGTCACTTGGTGAAAAATGTGGATTCACAGGACGATAAAGAAACTGTGCTGAAATCGGTCCAGTGTTGTTTTTAACCTGAAGCTCTTTGATCTTCTTCTGCAGTTGAGTGTTGAGGACTTGCTCGCCATCGATTTTGCACTGCAGGCTGCTGATTTCAAAGTCCTTTCTAGAAAAGAGTCAATTTTTTTAGATCAGAAAAATGTACTTTTATTACTGCCAGGAGATCATGTTTCCGTATGTGTGTATGTGCTTGTGTGTCTGTCTGTCCACGGCTACTCCCTCATACAGCTGGATCCATCAGCCACATGTGTCAGTCAAACACAGCTAATGAAACTAATGTTTTTTACAATTAAACTGCTGAAAAAGCAAAGTTTTTCTGAATGTTTTCACCAAGACGTTTAAAGGTAGAATCCAACATTTCTTGCTGATGATTGATTTTCCCATCGAACTGTTCAACAGAAACCGACCGTATGACCCTCACACACTCAAATCTTCAGTGGTAATTATTAAACCTAATTGTATCCGTTATGCGTTTTAGGATGTACATTATGCGGTAATGAATCATTAAAACAACATCTCACTTTTTCAGTCTCTCCTCCGTTTGCTGCCGTTCATTCTCCAGGTCCATGACGGTTTCCTGCGACAGCTTCAGATCCCCCTCCAGTCTCCTTCTGGATCTCTCCAGGTCTGTGCTCACCTTCTTCTCCTGCTCCAGTGAGCCCTCCAGCTGCAAGAGGCGTCCAAAAACCAGTACATCAACCAGTAGAACAGGGAAACCAAAACCAGGGAACATTATGCAAATTACCCCGACGATCTAATCAAAAGAGAACTATTTCGTTGTCCAGACTTACGTCCTCAACCTGCTGCTCCAACTTGATTTTGGTCTTCATCAGAGAGTTCACTTTGTCCTCCTCGGCCTGCAGGTCGTCTAACGTCTGCTGGTGCACCTCGTGCAAAGCTCTGATCTCCTTCGTAGACTTCAGCAGTCTTTCCTCCAGAGTTGTGAGCTCCTCTACTAAGTTCTTCACCTACGGAGAGAAATCATTCCACACAAGTTAAGATACTTTGAGGTACTTTTAGGCAACTTCATACTTCTGCTCCACTCCATCTTTGTACTTTTACAGTGTGGTATTAGGAGCTGAATACTTCTTCCACCTTATTTTCTGTGGCGTATTTCTCCTTCTCCACTTTGGCGATGGTGAGTTCCAGGTCGTCGATGTCCCTCTTGAGCTCCGAACATTCGTCCTCCAGCTTCCTCTTCTCCGCGGTGATTTCGGCGTTGATCTCCTCCTCTTCCTCCATCCTCTCGGAGAACTCTTTGACTTTGGCCTCCAGGTTGATCTTGCTCTTTATGAGGCCTTCGCACCTCTCCTCGGCATCGCACAGGTTCTCCCTCTCCTGGAGTCAAAAGTTTCATTCCCATGTGTGTCTCCATAATTATAAATATCTATTATATTCTATTTTACTGAAGTGTTATCATCGTCTCCTATGTTCCGGTTTTGCTCCTGCCGTGTCCACTTTCCCTGCAGGGATCAATGACGCTTCCTCTTATCTCACATTACTATTGATTATGTAGTTAAATATACATAAAAAAAGCTCTTCTCCGTCCTGATCTCTTTATCCGAGAGATTGAAATCAATACAAACCTCTCTGTTGTTTACGTACCACTTGGATTTGAAGGTAAAGGTCGTTCTTCTCCTGGACGATCGTGACCATCTTCTCCTCCAGCTCCTTCCTCCGGTCCTCCGACTTTGCGAACTCCTCTTTGAGTCGCGAGAACTCCTCTTTCATGTTCTGCATCTCCTTCTCGGCCTCCGCACTTCGCAGCAGAGGCTTGATCTTGAAGTAGAGCCTCATCCAGGGCCAGTTCTTCACGTTCATGAAGGATCGGATGTTGTACTGGACGATGAAAATGGATTCTCTGCGGAGCGAACAAGCAAAATAATGAGGACTTATGTAATAATATAGATATTTAAAATAGACTCCCCATATTCTCTGAATTTCTCACGTATTCATTGAACTAAAGTCACCAGAATATGACAGAAACAGATTCGTCAGCAGACCTTTTCTTCATCATCTCCTTGAGCCGCTGCCTGGTGACGTAACCTCTGGAAACGGCCTGGATACGAGTCATCAGGACAGCCAGACGTTCATCCCTCATCTCCTCCAGCAGACCCAGCAGGCCGGCTTTGAAGAACACCTGTATGTTGTGAAGAGACGACAATTAAATGGAAAATAAGTTAATATCATTCAGGATGAGTGGGTCTCAGGTAAAAAGTCCACCAAAGTCAGGATGATATGATTCTAGACTCTGGTTTAACAGCTGATGAGTTAATTAATTAAGGACACTTTGAGCTTCATAGTCTGTATGAAATGTGCTGTACAAATAAATGTTATTATTATTAAAATTAATTTAATCTATGTGTCAGATAATGGAACAATTCAACAGAAGAAGTACTCAGATCTTTTAAGTAAAAGTAGTAATACCACATTGTAAAGATTCATATACTTGATATACTGCTGTGTAAGTTAATCTATATTCACACATCATAATTAATTAGTTATTCATATTTTGTATTAATAATCTGAATCTGCAAAGTAAGTCATGTTGTCAAATAAATGTAAATTGTAGAATAGAAGTAAAAAAATAGCACAACACAGAAATATTGAAGTAAAGTAGAAGTATCTGGAATTGTACTTAAGTTCAGTATTTCTTTCACATTCCATGACTGTAGATATTTAATGTCACAGTGAACGTTTTCACAGTTTTACTGCGAGTAGCTGGACTGGAAGATGTAATGAATACTAAGTAACAAAACGTAAACATAAAGAAGAACTAACAGCGTCAGATGTTTGGTGATGAAATACCTTCGTGTATCCGAATCGATACTGAGCGTGATCCACGTCGATGGAGGAGAGCAGCTTCTCTGAAGCCTTCTTGCTGTCGATGAACTGACCCTCCGGGATCGCACTGGCGTTCAGAATCCTGTATCTGTCGCAGAGAGGGTTGAGGATTCAAACGCCGGTGAGTTTGTTCATGTGTGTGTGTGTGTGTGTAACAACACAAACAGAGTGTGTTGTGTGTTACCTCTGCTTGAAATCTCCGTAAAGGATCCTGCTGGGGAATCCCTTTCTGCAAATCCGGATTCCTTCCAGCACGCCGTTACAGCGCAGCTGGTGAAGGACCAGATGGTGATCCATGGACCCTACGAGGAGATCACAGTTTGAGTTAAAGGAACAGTTCAACACATGTTAAAGTGGTTTATTGTGTTTTTAGTTCGGATTGTTTTTCATGAAACTTGGTGGAGTTGTGTTAACCTGACGCACCAGATGGTTTGTTACTCAGAAACATTTGGAGAGTCGTCTTTGCAAACCTCTCTCATGTCTGTAACGGTGAATATGTAGCTGGAGCCAGCAGCTTGTTAGCTTAGCTTAGCATAAAGACTGGAAACAAGGGGGAATCTCATCTTCTTTCTTTAGCTTCAGTCTGAAAACATTTCTTCTCACCTGGCGTCTTGGTTTCATTTGGGATGATGCATCTTACAAAGTGTGGATGTGTGGACCGGAGGTTGGCCATCAGCTTATTCAGGTTCTCCTGCAGGAGATCAACAGAGTATAGTCTCCAGACGCGCAATTAGTCTTCTGCTTTATTAAAAGAATGTTGTTGTTTCACATAAAATGTAAATAAATACAAAATTGAAAAATATCCAAATTAATAAAATGTACTTGTCCCATAGGAATGCATCTGTTAACTTATTCCACTGACACCAAATAAATCCATCAAATAAATCCCTTCAGCTTTGATCTAATTAACCGATTATCACCCTGAAAACTGCAGAAACCGTCTGGAAAGAAGAGCCCTTTCTCTTGGCACTTCTCTTACTTCCACCAGCATCTACGGAAACACAAGCGAAACAACATTCCTCAGTCTAATAAACCGTATACTTCGGTATACTCTAATCGTAATAAAGCGTCATTAAAAGTGAACCGACCGTCGGCTGCGGAATAAGTGGCGAAGAGCTGAGAGAGCAGCTTCAGGGAGGCTTTCTGGTAGAGCTGCACCACGGTGTCGTTGAGCGGGTCTTTGTTCTTCTCCAGCCAGCCGCTGAGGTTGTAGTCCACGGTGCCGGCGTAGTGCATGAGGGAGAAGTGGGCTTCGGCCTTTCCTTTGGAGGCCTTGGGCTTCTGGAAGATGCTGTTCTTCCCCAGGTGCTGGTCGTACAGCTTGTTCTTGAAGGAGCCGTCCGTCGCCTTCGGAAACATGCACTCCTCTTCCAGAATGGAGAAAATGCCCATCGGCTGCAGGACAGTAAAGCCCATTAGTGTTGGAACGCGTGCGTCTGTCGTTTGATTTAACATTTGTGTTGATAAAAAGACGATGCACCTTTTCAATGAGCTCGATGCAGGCTGCCAAGTCCATGCCGAAGTCGATGAACTCCCACGCAATCCCCTCTTTCTTGTACTCCTCCTGCTCCAACATGAACATGTGGTGGTTGAAAAACTGTTGCAGCTTCTCGTTGGTGAAGTTGATGCACAGCTGCTCCAGGCTGTTCATCTGGAACAAACATGGATTAAAATTAACACAGAGATTCTTTCAAAAATAGATTTGTTTTATGACATTTTTTTTATCATTTCGTTCACCTCGAAAATCTCAAACCCCGCGATGTCCAGGACGCCGATGAAATGCTGTCTGGGGAGTTTGGTGTCGAGCTGCTTGTTGATCCTGGTGACCATCCACAGGAAGAGCTTCTCATACACGGCCTTAGACAGAGCGCCCATGGCATTGTTCACCTGTAATCAACGAGGGAGGAAGTATTCACATCTGTTACTACTGTAAAAGTACTAATACCACACAAGTAAAAGTCCTGCATTAATGTGTATGTTGCATGTTTTTAACTCCTTTATATGCTGTTGGCTGGTTTATTCTACATCAATGCATCATATTCTATAAGATGTTTGTAGCGTCTCTGTCCTGTGAGAACCTCGTATCTCTAAAAAGAACAAACAGCTGTTCTCAGCTGAACATTTCCACTGAACATGCTTAACACTCGTGTTCATATGTAGGAACTGTACCTGCTGAGGAGTCTGACCTTTGGTGACATACTCGTTCCCAATCTTCACTCGGGGATAACAGAGCGCCTTCAGCAGATCAGCCGAGTTAAGACCCATGAGGTAGGCCACTTTGTCCGCCACTGTGGAACAAAAACAAACACACACATGGAGATGTGAAGCAGCTGAAAGGAGTGTAATATTGTCAGCCTAACTGACGCCTAACTTCAGCTCAGACGTCTCACCCTCGGTGCCGTCGGGCTCCGCCTGCTCCTCCCGCTGCTTCTGCTTGAACTTCATGTTCCCATAATGCATCACAGCGCCAGTCAGCTTGTAGATGCCGACCTTTTCCTCCGTGTTGAAGCCCAGGATGTCGATGGCTCTCTGAGGAACATGTTGAAGCATCTTCATTAGCGTTTTTCCTCTTAGTGTAGCAATAATACATCATTTTAATTTATATTATCTGTATTAATAGTGTCGACAAACCCTCCCTCCATCTGAAGTTATATTGAAAAAACTAAGAATAATTATTTATATATTAAAACTATAAATAAATAATAACATTTTCATAATAATAGATAATAATAACAACAATATGCAATTCAATTATATATAGATACATACATACTCTATACATATATAGATACATGCAGAAAATGTTCTTATTGATTGAGTAGTTTTAAACACATTGGGCAGCCTTTGTTTTAATATATATATATATATATATATATATATATATATATATATATATATATGTACACACACATATACTGTATGTGTACTCACATCGGTGGCCATCAGCTCCTCGGGGTCGTTGATGCTCAGCACGCTGATCTCTCCCTGGCTGATGAAAGGGTAGTCGTACGGGTTGGTGGTGATCAGCATCATTTCTGAAGCGAAACAGTGAAAGTATTGATTTCTCTGTTCCGGGTCGGCAGCTACGGCGCAGCATCAGATTCACAACCCGTTAAAAGAAGAAATGTTCACCGATTAAATCAGGCTTCTTGTTTGACAAGATCTGATAGAAGATGTGATAGCTCCTCTCTGCCAGCAGCTGGAAGGTCACTCTGGATTTCTCCAGAAGGTCTGAAGAAAATAAATACAAATGGAGATAATATATAAATAGCAGTGAATATGGCAGATAATATATATAAATAGCAG